ATACAAATTTCTAAATATCTGGATTAGCGGTATATGCTAGATTATTATGTCACTTAATACCGTAAATGCAATACTATCATTATATCATTATTTCATCAAAATATATTTCTGTCCAGCAATTATAAGCAATAATATTGACGTATAAGTTTGCAACCAGAAATGCTTGAAATACAAGTTTACAACCATATGCTTGAGCAGAATATTTCTGTCTATCAAAACTTCATTTGGAACATCGAAATTAAAACATTTACACAAGAAAGAAACCTATTTTGTCGTGTTTGGTGAATTTCAAAACTTCCAAATATTTGACCTTTACCTTTGATATACAGATCTGGTTTATGCCTGCGACATGGCTTCTCATAATATTGAACATTTCTATGAAGTTGTATAAGAATACCTCCGTGCGTGTAGGAAATATGCCCTAGATGTTCCATCAGTAACCTTTACCTTAAATATATTAACCTAAATTACACGTGTCACAGATATTGTCAGGCTAACGATAATTTGTGTTACAATCCCTCAATAATTGAGGACAAAATGGTCCCTGTTCACACTTTCATATTTTTATTTAAAGCCTGGGACCTGCGTTTTGTGATCAACACTCCACCTTTCAATGGTGAATATTTGTCGAAGTAATATTGATATTTCCTTTATGCTTGTAGACTGTTTGCATCGTACAAGCCTTTTTCAATGACCTCTTAGTTTGACCTCGAGGTATTTGTCATCACTGCGACACGGCTTTTCATAGTGACGATCGTTTCTATGAAGTTTCATCCCTCCATGCGTGTAGGAAATATGCTCCGGATAATATTTGACGGTGCCCGCTAGACCGTCAGTTCGCCTGCCAGGGGGAAATTATCATACCACTTGTTTTTTAAACGGGAGTATACATTTTTTGGGTCATTTCAAAAGTATGCTCTTGAACTGAGCATGCTATCATTAATTTAACAAAATTTGGGATGTTATACTATTTACCGTATAACATTATATTTTTTTTTTTCGTTAACACGTCTATCTACTTAGATATAATAACCATAAGCGTTCAAAACCTGTAGCAAATTCAGTTCGCGAAGTGTTTACCGTCGCTTTTGCAATAGACGTCACTTACGTCCTGACAAGGGGCGTCCGTGGCCGAGTGGTTTAGGTCGTACACTTCAACCACTTGCTCCTCACCGCTGTGAGTTCGAATCCCAACAGGGACTTTGGATTCTTTCATGCGAGAAAGCTATCCAGCTAACTTACAGAACGTCGGTGGTTCTACTCAGGTACCCGTTCGTGCCTGACATAATTTACGGAACCGCATCTAAGGTCTTCCTCCACCAGTAAAGCTAGAACGTCGCCATATGACCTATAATGTGTCGGTGTGACTTAAAACCCATTCAAACAAACAAACAAACAAACAAACAGGCGTCACGAAAATTTTCCACTTTCTTTTTCTTCCATCACTTACTTTGAGTTGCTTGCACTAGTTTAAAATAGTGCCCTTGTTCCTGATTTGGACATAATGTCCTTTAAAGATATTGATATGTTGGTTTAATACATTGTTATATTGAAAATGAGACAGCAAATTATGTATAAATTAGATGAACGCTTTCCCTGGAAAAGTTTTCCGGTGTGCTGCGCCATGTGCGTGTTCATGATTATTCAATATCACAAGGATCACGTGTTTAAGACAATCATTTATATTAGTTTTATGCACAAATTGTAGAAAATATTTCACGATCGGCGTACATTTGAATATTATTATTCATTTAATGGAAAATATGGAGCACAATACTCTGAGTCCTATTTCTTTTTGAACAACCCTCGCATTTTTGTTAAAGCAATTATTTATAAAATTGCTTTATTTATTTATTTATTTGTCATGACATTAAATTACTGACAAATCTTTGTTGTTATTTATCAGCACTGCAAATAATACAAAACAGGAATGTTCTAATTAATGATTTTATTGAACATGCAACATTTATCAATGATAAGCTTTGAAATATTGTATAATAATCTAAAGGAAAATATTCTTTTTTATGCTCCTTTAAAACATTCTACCGTTCAGAAGAGGAATTATTTTAATTTCATAAATATATGATTTAAAAGATGAACAAAACATAAAATACATGAAGCACATTATAAAGCAATAAGATTAAAATACAAAAAACAACAACAACAAAAACAATGACAAAACACACTAAAGAAAAAAAAATACAATACTTGTGTCAAGGTATAACCATAATTTGAATGACAGCATAGAAACAATGATTATTAAGTCTAACAAATATTTAATCTAACATGAAGCACATGTACCTATTTCGTGTAATTTTTAGGTTATATTTGTTGTGCTGTGTGCTTTTTTATTTTAAATTCTGTGCATATATGTACATATATATTTGAATAATGATATACCATGACATGCTGATGTTTACATATTCCTATCTGTTAACATACGAAATAATGATTACGTTATATGTTGAATATTCAACCTTCTTTGCAACTGTTTATATGCCACTGCTCGTTATATTGTGATGTTGTAAACACGTTATCCTCAAGCTCAGGCTGCCTTATAGAATAAACAAACATTACGATTGAAACATAAATCATTGTCTAGTTAAAATTCTCAATGCATTAAAGCTACCGGGAGTAAGAATATTTTTTAATCACCACGTATCAATTAAATAATATTTGTTAAAGTCAATCTAATAACAAGTAAAATTAATGTATCGTAAAAATATTGCTGTATTTATACTTATGTAAAAACCACTCATTATAATGAGATAAAATATATATTTTGTACATTATCACTAAAATTCCAAGCCAATTGAATAAGGTAACAAAAACATGTTATAATGCAACAATATATTGCTACGATATATATAATGCATCTCATTATTGCTTTAAGGCTCATTGTTTCTCTGTTCAAAAGTAAAATAAAATGAACATACAATATGCTTAAACAAGAATATAACGTCCAAAACTAACTAAAATTTTACTAAGAAAAGGGGTTACCGTAACTATTTAAAGAAATGTCTTAAACAAGAACAATTTCTAAATGAAACTCCGCTTAAAAACATGAAATTAGTATTACACAGATCAACGCAAAAGATAAGAACGAAATATACCTAAAATTATAATTAAAATAATGCTCAGAAATTGATATTTTTACTTTTGTGCTATACGTGTTCCGATTTGTGTTTCATTTTTAGCATTTTTTCTCTGAATAATTATTTTGCAAATAAGGAGAAAGAGGATGATCTGCAAATTTACAAACAATTTATAACTATTACCAACATCAATAGAACATTAATCTCGAAAATATATAGCCTGATATAGCTTTTTATAGACAAACAGTTCTGAGTCTAATAAAAATATGATAAGACGGGGTTTTTTTTTAAATTTATTTCAGAATATGGTTTTTAATGTTTAAGTAGACTTTATATTTTAGCAACATTTCCTAAAAGTAATCGCTATTATACAGAAAAGTACAATTTAGAAAGACTGCATACTAAAATAGTATTGGCAAATCTGCAATTGCTATCAAAAGTTTCAAATTCAATAAATGCCGTGGCTATGTACAAAATATGTAACATGATTAAGGCGTTGGTAGATCGATTGTTCGCTAACTGCTCTGGTCATTGTCCACAATAGGCAAACAAAATCAAACAACACTAAAATAATTAACCATGATTAATAATGATAATAATAATAATAATCATAATAATTATAATAATAATAACGACAACAACAGTAATAATAATAATAATAATAATAATAATAATAATAATAATATCTTTACTTAGAGAAGTTAACATACAAAGTTTACACAAAAGAGAACACGCATATCTATTTTCAGAACGGACTTCCAAAGAAAAAGAAGAAAAGAAAAACATTTCTTAAAAATAGATATTTACAACATTTGCATTATTTTGATAAAAACTTTTTCTACTATAATAAATAATGTTAATGAAACAAAATTTGGATTTTGGTAGCTATTTCGGATTAATACAACCCAGATACTCGGGAAGAGAAATATTTTATTCTTTAACAGCTGTACCACATTTTGTACGAGAACAACAAAAAATAGAAAAGAGAGTCGCATAACACAACTTTCACACTTTCTTACATATTCAAATACAAAGTAATTTACGGATACGCCAATCATTAAGTTTCTGATGATATCGTCAAAGGTCTGTCAAGGAAGTATAAAATAATTAACGTTTTTTCCACATGACGATGCACTCGACTGCAGTATAAATATACAGCAGATATGCAGATATGTCATGTCAATTATAGTGTCTTCATATTTAAATGTCTTTATTTTCTGTGCATGCTTCTCCATACATGTCCACTGTTCTTGGTTTTTCCATACAATTTTGTTAATAATTATATTAAAGATCAAGATATTTCTTAGTATTTGTACTGCATTTCAATATCTTCAATTAAGATCCAATTTACTTTTTTATCAACCTTTTAAACAATTTTTTTTCAATAAAAAATGACATCCTTGCTTTGTTATTCATCCTAATACCCAAATATCAGAATCTGAGATATAAGTTAATATGACTCAAGCTTTACCCTCAGGTTCTTTTCATGAAATTCCGGTGTTACTACAAATGTTTTCATTTTCACCTTTATTCATGAATTAGTTATAAGACTAATTATTTCATAATTCCGCGTGCATTTAAAATATCAACAAATATACCCATTTACTTTACTTGCAGATACATAAATATGTCACAGTTTATTAACATACTTCTTCGACAGGATTTTCAGCCACTTTCGAAATTCCCAACAGTCCATTTAGCCATTAATTGTTTAGGAAAAGATAAATCCATACCGATATTAATGAATTCGAGTCCAGATTTCCTTTGAACTGTCAGGGTGTTTTTCCCACAAAATATAAAACAAATATAAAGTAAGTGAAGTAATACATGCTTTCTCTTAAGCTATGTAAATTATTTATCAAGCCGGGTTTCTTTCGCCAAAAGTTTGCTATCAAAAATAGCTCATTATGCAGAAAATATTTTGTTTAAACTCTCTATTGCCTCTGATATTGTAACATTGTTCCATGAAGAAGGAATGTTATCAATCCCATAACCATACTTCCGTTTAAGCTGTTGTTTGTATTTCACTACAAACCAAATCCAATACTTTGATGACTCATACATATTAGAGGTTGGTGCTATGTCCCAATCTGGGAGGTAAGTTTTGTAGGCGCTGTACAAATGTTCACCATCACATTCATTGTTTTCAACATAACAAATGTTATTGAAAACTCTGCAGGAATGTTTAAAATCTGACTGAATATGAAATTCGCATGATGTTAAACATGCATCATTTGTGCTGAAGTTACGACTGCCAGTGCAGCATGTAGGTCGATGTTGTAAACTGTAATGTGTGGAACCAACATGATCTCGACTTTTGGCACATGGTTCTCCACAAAAAGGACATTGTTCTTGACACCCCCATATCTGTTTCATAACGCGTGAAATAGGATTAAAATCAGGCCATTTTATGGAGTGACTCTGCAATGATTTAAACTTAGAAGCCAATCTTTTTTCAGAAATGTTCATATTTTCTAAAATTTTAGTTGTCAGGTATTCAAAATTTTGTATTATTGTTTCTTCATTTTTTATTCTTCGAAAACGTTCAGATGGAATAGCATGATTATACGATTTCAGTGCGTGTTCGAAATATTCTATCCAAGTCTCATTTGAGGGTGGTGACTTCCTTTCATATTCTTTTTGTACTTCCTGTACGCACTTTTTAACACTTCTAAACAATTCTGTAAGCAACGATGACGAGGTGTTTACAATGACTTGTCCATCTAGATATTGATAAGCTTTTTCAGTGATCCATATACTAGCATATTTCTTTGGATCCTCTATGTAGCAAATGAAGTTTTCGAAATCGTCATTACGTAACAGATCTTTGCATATTTCAATTATGACTCTGTTTTTAACGCTCGGAAGAAGGGCCAATAACTCGTCGGTAACTTTATTCGGCAGTGTCTGTAATGCCCATTTTTCTGCAAAATATTCAATGATAGACGAAAAGAGTTCTGCGACAAAATCCTCGAATTTCCGGCATTGTAATTGATACTGAAAACTTATTTTCTGTTGAACTCTGTATTGCTCAAGAAGGACAGCCGTTGCATGAGTTTTAGAGTATTTTTCATTATGTATTTCAAATATTGGGTGAGCATGCCTGCTTACATGTACACAAAGTTTTACATCGAACGATTTTTTAAACTTATATCCACTGTTTGTTTTTAAGATATCTTGTATGCTATAGTGTAGTTCCCACATTAGTTTATTGACAGACATTTCTGTAACTTCATCGTGAATGTGGCATAGTTCTTTTATTTTCGTATCAACCGATTCAAATATTTGGTCGACCCTTCTTATGATAGTGTTCATTGTATCAGTCATTTCCTCCTTTACTTCGACTTTGAAGCTTATGTCTGTTTTATTTATTCCTGTTTCACAAAAGGATTTTGCTAATTGTTTTACATTCGGCAATGGTGTTAAGAAATTGGTTTCTTCTAAAGCCTGCTTAAGCAATGCATGATTTTGCTTAAAGATGTTTTCAAGGCATGTTTGAAAGACATCTTGCATTTTCTTTTTGGACATTATCACACCTGTTACAGACGTATCAACCTTATTTAGAAAAGCTCCCCAAATGTCAGTAAAAAGTTGATCTATTGTCTCGTTACTTAGTTTCTGACCTTTGCAATCATTCGCAACAATCATAGATCTTTGCCGTAGTGCCTCTTCCTGTTTTTCTTGAAATATAACTGTCAGAATTTCTAATGATCGTTTGGCTTCATATTTTTTTACATGTTCTTCAATTATTTGTATAAGTTTATCAAATAACAAGTTCACACTTGTTTGTTGATTATTTTTCCATTGAATTATGATGTCTTTGTATCTATTTCCGTCAAAATATGTCTGAATTGTTTCTTCGGTTTTTACTTTTTCATTAAAAAGAAGCTTATTTAGTTCGCTTATCAGTTCGTCTGCTACGTTACATATTTCTTTCTTTTTATCACATGTAGCAAAGCTGTTTTGCGAGATTTGTATTAATTTATCACGTACAAAGCTTTCAAGCTTCCAAAGTTCAGCTTGAACAAAATACTCCATTTCCATATAAGCTTTAATTTCAATGCTATTTCTAAAAGAGAAAACAAAATCTTCATTTAGAACACCTTTCCATAAGTTATGTGCTTGTTCGACTACATCATTCAAAGATTTGAAAGATTTGTTTTTCATTTTCAAAGACTTATCCAAGATTTTGAATTTTATATCCACTACATTTTCACTGTATTCATTATTTACTCTCGCCATCGGTGGATTCCCTTGCAATAAATTCTGTAGATACCATATTTGTGTCTTCATGTCACATTCAATGACTTGGCTAAAACGTTTGATGTCAAGAATTCCTTCACTCCTCGCCGAGTCTTCTGTCATTTCATCTAAAGTCTGCATTAACTTTATTAAACCACATGTCATACGTTTTGATGCAAACGGATCAGCTACATTATGATGAATAAATGCACAACTTTTCTTTATATCTAGTTTCTTGTTTGTCATTTTCAAACGAAGAAAGGCATGAACAATTACTTGTAAAACGTCCCGAATATCGCTTATATTTTCACCCATTATATTTAGTATCGTGATATCACCAACACCTGTTATAACAGTAGCCAGTTCATTGTCATGTTCATGCTGCACATGGCTTAACTCGGGTGACCTCAGGCCTTCTGTGTCAATTAAAAGTACATAGTTTACAAGGGAAGAATTTTTGTCATTATGTTCAGATTTTAAAGGAATGAGCTGAGCATTTATTCCCCTTGTACAACGACCTGTTCTTACCGCAAACTCGGATCCAAACATTGTGTTCAGAAGAGTTGACTTTCCGGAGCTTTGTAGGCCTAAAACACTAACTGACATCACATAATTAGCTCCAGTACATTTAATGACGCTTTTGATCCACTGGTAAGGCATATAGAAACTATCACCGTCAACCAACTCAAATGGATGTCCATCAGCAACGTAACAACCGAAAATATCTGACATTTTTTTTAACATTGGCAGTCCTAATTTTGTTGAATCTTCTTTAAGTTCTAATATAGCGTCATTTATATGACCAATTTCATGGAAAAAATTTTGAACTGTAAATGATGCTTCGTCAATTTTGTCTTCAAACTCTGTAATTAGAGTTTCTTGTTCTTTTATTTCGTCTTCCATCCATCTTTTGGCAGTTTTTAGTGTTTTGAGTTTCTCCCAAGCATTTTGATGTTCATGCATAAGCTTGGATAATATTTGCCGTTGTTCTCTTTGAATATCAAAATTTAACCAGCGAAGAAAATATTCAAGTTTTAAGGGATAATTCTCGTACTTTATGAGGATGTCAAGAAAAAGTTTCACTGTCTTAGTTATAGAATGCATTTGTGTTTGTCTCAGTAAATTAATTTTTTCATCAAGTTTGATTCCTTTGGAAAAGTCTCTTTCTCTTTCCCTTTCTTTTAAGAGTTTTCCTAATTGCCTGGACAGTTTACTCTGGACTGGCGTCAAGTTTTGTTTCCAAACGTTTGGCTCACTTTCAGTTTTCATTTGTTTTATCAGAGTTTTAGCTTCTAATTTGCTTTCCTGACAAACTTCATTGTCTTCGTCTGTTTTGATGATTGTTGATTGTGTATCCGAAAATCGTTTTTCAAACGACTTTGTATGAGTTGTTTCAAGCTGCTTTGTTATATACTTTGTTACATTTAAAAGCATGTCTACAACATTCTGCTCAACAGCGCCTTTATATGTACTATAAATATGTAACAACAGCCTCCGGAATAAGTTTGCAAATCCGGAATTTTCGCAAACTCACCTACCTTTTTTAAATTGATTAGAGAAAAAAATTAAAGACCTGTCAATAAAAGAGATAGAGTCAAGTAAAACCTGGCCTTTGAAATGACGATACCCTTAAAATTAAATGCAGGGGAGACATTCAAAGTTGGCCGTCCCATGGGGTTTTTCGATTCCCCCACTGGGGATTTGGTCTCCCAGTGGGAGTTTCGTGGGGTTTCATTTCCTCTTTACGAGAATGGGAGAAAAAATCACGGGATAATTTAAAAAAATTATATACCATTATTTTTAGAAAAAATCACTAATCTTGACTTTAGATATTCCTTCCTAAAAATATAGATCGAAATATAAATATTTTTAGAATCTCCCATTTTCATTATGGGTGAAACGCACCCATGGATGAAATCACCCATCTTGATAATGGGAAGAAAATCCCATTTTGATAAATGGGATAAAATCCAATTTCTTATAATGGGAGATAATTCCCATTCCTTGCAAATGGGAGAGTGTTCTATCTTTTAGGTGTGGCGCTTATAACATATAATACAAAATATATGAATAAAATAAAATCCAAAAATCAAATAAAATGACAGGGAATATGCAACAAAAATAATAATAATAATAATAATATAAATAATAGATCAAATAACAAAAATAATAAAACTAATAATAATTATAATAATAATAATTATAATAAGAAATAAATAGTGATAATAGTAATAATAATAATAAAAAAATTAATAATAATAGATAAATAATAATTATAATATATATAAATATTTCAATGAATAATAATAATAATTATAATAATTTATAATATTGATGATAATAGTATTAATGCTAATGATAATAATAGTAATTAGAAGAAATAATATAATAATAATAATAATAATAATAATAATAATAATAATTATAACAAAATTTTATCTTGGAATATGACGGGAATGAATACAGGAAAGTATCATATGTAACGATTTAATCACCAAAATTCATTTAAATATTAAAAACAATCCAAAATGCTTTGATGTACTCTTCGCCGGTCTGCTATCTGTATTTTCTGTCTCGTCCAGTCTATTTTGACATTCAAATAGTTTCACAAGCTAAATGGCAAGGCTCTCCTGGTTTTGAAGTATATAACTTATTTGAATTCAATTTAATAAAAAATACCGCGGTAAGATTTTTTTTTTCGAAATACAAACAATATTTTGATCACTTCGTTTAGTTGTAATAATAACCTTATAGAAAACAAATTTTAATATTGTTCATATAATGGATAAAAACCAACCACATTCCAATTATGGAAAATGTTTTTCATTTTTCTATTGTTATCATCGTCGGATGAAAAATATTACTGAAAATTTTTCAAAACAAACAAACAAAAATAAACATTATTTATAAGATTAGACGGTAATATGCTCCAAAAATGGTAATCTAATCGGTGTCATTCAGATTTTTAAGAACGTAGCGATTAAGTAATAAGGGATGAAAAACAAGTGTGCCGTAAGGCGTGCCGTAGCATAAAGCCATACATGTAGTTATTTTGTATCAAAATATAAAACATGCAGTCATTGAAAATTGACATAACGCCGCCTGTCAATCAAGCTGACAGGGGTCACGGAGATAAGCCAATCAGCGATCGTTATCAGTTTCTCGCTAAGATGCCCTTGCGAAGTCCACCATTTACCTAAAAAAAAAGCTTCCTGTCTATTTTAAATTTTTTGGTCAATTTAGAACTAATTTTAATTAGTACATTTATAAAGTTACCAAATAAACTGGCATATTGAATGGACCGAGTAAGTTTTTTTTTACACCAAATAGTCAATAAATTTACCTTACATCACGGAAATTTAATATACAAAAAGCAACGCATTAATAAAAAAATCATGTTTTTTATTCATACGAATTTTTACCTGCGCATTTAGGCATAACCTATTAAAACGGTAACAATATTATGCTTTACAGTAAATCAAAGACTTGTGAAAAAGAGACATAATAAACAATTCAAGCTTCCAATTTTCAATTCTAATTCAAATATCTTTATTTAAAGCCAGGTATTAATAAATACATAAGGGGGTTTACAAAAAAATTTTTTAACAAAAATATATTCGGGTTTGTAAAGTTCTAAAAAAGGTTTAAAGGCGGGTTATCAATAGTCTTTAGCCCCATTTTTTCGAAAAAAAAAAATAATAAACTTTTTTAAGGGGTTTTAAAAGAAAAAAAATAAAAAAAAGAAAACCCAAAGGGGGTGAAAAATTAACTTTAATAAAAAAAGGCTTTAAATTTTTTCGTTACGCCCCCTTGAAACCAATTTAAAAACAAACCAATTGGGAAATTTTGCAAGGTTTTTAAACCCTTTCGATGTCCCGGTTTTGGGTGGGGAAGGGGGTCCCCTTTTTCAAATGGGAAAACCCTGTGTAGGGTTTTATTTAAAAATTTTGAACTTCTTTGGGGGTTTAATCCCCCCTTTTCCCCAACCCGCCAATTCTTCGGTTTTTTTCCCCAGTTTTCCGGTATTGCCCAATTTTTCCCTTTCAATCGGTTTAACGAAGGGACAAAATTTAATTGCCCCGGTTTTTAAAGGGATTTCCCGGGATTTTCCCAACGGGCGCCTCGTTTCTTAAACGTTCAATGAAAATTGTTTTTAAATAAATTACACCCCAATTTTTTACGGCGGGCTTTTTTTTTTGACGCTATATTTTTTAAAAACTAAAAAAAAATGTCATATTTTTTGGATATTCTGGGCCCTTAAATTAAATATAGGGGATTTTTTGTTTTTTTGGGCCATGTAAAAATTTAAAAATTAAAAATTTTACTGATGAAAAACCAGAGCAAATTTTCACGAGGGGCCCAAAACCCAGGGAGTGAAAATATAATTTTAGCTGGTGTTCACAATGAAAAAATATTTCAATTAATTTTGGTAAAACAAATTTTTCTTTTTATTTAAAGTTTTTAAAAAGTTTTTTAAAGTAATTTTTTACTGTTTTTCCCGGGGCGAAAAGGGTCGGGGCATTCTCCTTGGGGACGCCCATCAAAATTTTAAACTCACATTCAACAAGTTTGAAATTTTATTTTCTTTTAAAATTTTTTTTAAAATTTTGGGTTACTTTTTTTAAATAAGGGTTAGGGTGACCTAAAAATTTTTTTTTTCCCGAAAGAAGCCAAAATTTACGCAATAAAGGGAAATTTTTTTTTTGGCTGTTTAAACCCATTCAGTTTTTTTTTTTTTTTTTCATCCGCATTCAGATATGGGTCCGGCTACAGTAAAAAATTATATTTTTTTAAATTTCAAAGGGGTTTTTCAGAATATAATCATCTGTTTAAAATTAAACAAAAACACGGGGAAAGAAATAAATAAATGTTTTTTTAATGGGGATTATGAATAGGTTAAGGCAAAAATTGGGGATTTGGGGGAAACTTTTTAAAATTTTTTCAAGCAATTTGTGCTACGGGCCAAAGGAAAAAAGTTTTTGAAACCCACAAAAACAAAATTTTTTCCTTTTTGTAGAAACCCAATTTTTTTTTGGGGGATAATAAACTAACTTACTCGATTTTTCCCATTTTAATATTTTTGTAACTTTTATTAAAAATTTAATTTATCCCGGATTTAATAGTTTTTAAATTTGGATATATAAATTAAAAAAATTTCCCCAATCTTTTTTTATTTCGAAAACCATTTTTTTATTTTAAGGGTAAATGTGGGCTTCGCACCCCACCCTTTGGGGTGGAAACGAAAACGTTTCGTTTGAAAATGGCTTTTTCTAGTAAAACCCTCCCATTAATTGACAGGGGGCAAATTTGGAAAAATTAATCTTCGTTTTTAACCCCTTTAAAACAAAACGGGGCACTTTTGGTACAGTATCGAAAAAGGTATAGTCCGGGCCCCAAAACCTTAAGGGTTTTATCGCTCCCCCCCTTTAAAAAATTTCATGTGCTATAAAAAACAAAACCCCAGAAAAACATTATCTAAATATGCTTTACTTTTAATTGTTCCTTAGGGGTTTTTTATTGTAAAAAAAGCGGTAAAAAAATAATGTTATTTAACAAAAAAAAACAATTTAAACAAGGGAAATCTGATGTTTTTAATAAAAGTTTTGAAAACATTTTTTTAAGAAATTTTATTTTTAAAAAAATGGGGTTTGTTTGTCGTCCTATGAAAAAACCGTTAAACGCCGTAAAAAATAAATTTTTTCAAAAAAATCTGAAAAACAACCATTTTTAAATAAAAACATTTTTTTAAATATACTTTTTAAAAAATTTTTTAAAATACAAAAATTTTAAAAAGAATTTTAAAAGAAAAATGATTTTTCATCCCGTGTTTTCCCGGGTTGTTAAAAGTAAATTTTATTTTTGAGGATCTTTTGTTTATTTAAAGTGAAAACAAATTTTTTTTGTATTAAAATCATAAACTTTTAAAAGGGACTTTTTAAAACCTAAAAAAATTTAAAAGCGCGCCAAAAAATTATAAAAGGTTTGGACTTTCTTTTACGACTTAAACCCCTTTTAAATTTGGGTTTTTAACACTGGAACGTTTGTATTTCACTCAAGAAAACGAAAGGGGGGTTTTTAAAATTAAAAAAAAAGTAAAATTTAAAATTTTTTAATTCCCTGATATATATCCCCAAAAAGCAGGGTAATAAACCCTTTTTACAGTAAAATTTTTTCATCATTTGGGCCCATCTCTTTTAAAACAGTATCAACCCCCAATTTTTTGTTTTTATTAATGATTTTAAAAACCCATTTTATTTTAGTTCTTTTTTCCAAAGGGGAGCGTAATCAAAACCCCCCTGTCCCGGAAATGTTTTTTTTTTTAAATGCCAAAATTCGGTGGTTTTAGAAAAATTTTTAAAGTGAAAAAAACTGGAAAATTTCATTTTTTTGAGACAGTGAAAATTACCATTTTATAATCTCACGTTTTAAATTTTAAACCCCCCTTAGGGTTTTTTTTCCCAGGAAATCCCA